GTTTTGTTTACCATTTACTTGTATTTTCTGCATTTGTTGGTATAATACCGAATTTTGATTTAAATTATCTAATTCTTTGCAAAATGAAAGGGATTGTTGTAAACTAATTGGAGTTTTATATAGAAGATGTTAGCGATAGGGCTGATTGATGGCAGCGCAAAATACTTTCAAAGTTTCGCTTTTATAGTGACTTCATCTGTATTGCTGATCAGTTAGACCACTAGCAGCTTCGCAAGTTTTACTTAGTATATTATATAATCGCAAATAGTATTATTCATAGTGTTCGTTTTGGAACATGTAACAGCCTATTAATTGATTATATAATAACTTCTCGTCCTCGGGAAGACCAAAACGTTCTTTTAAAAAACCGCGTTGTGAGGCCCACTCTGTTGGTCTCTCTGCTGAATACAAAAGAAATGCATCTCCCTTTAATTTATTAACAATTACATAGAATTTTAAATTAATATATTCTTCCGCGGTAGTAGCTACAACATTGTAGAAATTATCGCAGGCGTTAAGAAATTGCCTTAATTCATTTTCTGCTCCATGAAAATTTGGAATTGCAGAACTGAACAAATCAAATTTCGTTTTAAATTCATTAATTGTAACTATGGGATTTGTTGCGGTAGTCATCTTGTGTACAATTTAACGAAGAGGACAAGTAGAAAGGATAAATACGAAAAATGCACTAACCTGTTTCAAAATCCTCCAAATTTGCAGCCTTTTAGCAAAAGTTTCACTCCTCAGTGGAATGGAATTTTCTTATGGACAGAAAACCGTTGTTTTTGATGTTTCAGATTCTTTTGTAGATGTGGACGTTGTAGAATTGATATTCTAAAGCGTAGGTTTTCCAGTTTTCCAGACACGCTTTCCAGATCCTGTTCGCAGCGCCAGTTATGTCGAATATCCAAAGGGTTGGATTTTTAAAAAAGATTTTAAAACTCGAGAAACTTATTTATTTATTGTAAAAGAACTCATTTACAATCTGCACTTATATTGATAATTACCGATAAGGAGCGAACTATTAGCTGTACCGTAGATAGACTGACTCCTTGATGCAGGGTGAAGTATTATTTGTAGACTAGCCTAGACTGAAGAATTCGGGGTTGAAGTAGACTGTCGCCACCTTGTGATAGTGTGGGTTGGATATAACAAATGTCTGCTTTTATTCAACGCTATTTACAGAATGCCCGATATATCTTTTTTTTTATTCCATAGATAAGCCTTGAGTGTGTCATGTTACGTTTTCTTAGTGGGCCCCACAAAATCACTTTTTTGAAATCTTTGTTTATAAACACTATCTCCAATATCAGCGGACTGCTGAGATAGCTGTTTTTGTTTATAGTATACAGATTTGAATTGTTAAAAGGGATGATAGGAAACTAAGTAAGCAATTAAATATTCGTTTAAGCGAAGAATAGATACAGAGCAGGTAAAGAGTAAGTTGTAGTCGGGCAAACTTTAACTTCGTAGGAGCCGCTACCTGAGGTTAGTTTGAGTCACTCCATGTACGAGAGAGTAAGCAGTAATTGATTTCTCTTTTTCTTCTCCCTACCACTCCCATATTAAGCCCTTTCATCCCGTAGACGAGCGAAGCCTCTCTCGCAACTTAAATAATACCTACGAAAATTATCGTTACTACGTTCGCAATACTATTGGGTTTGACTATGGAAGAGAGGACTCACCTACGAAATGGAAGGGATAAGAAAAGGAAAGAATCATCTCACTCGCACTCGCAGGATCAATGAGGAGCTCCTTGGCTATACCTGAGCAGCTGTCGGGAGCCAAAAGAGCCGAGATTGCCCGGCTCTGGAGTAGGTATACAAACAAAATTATAAGTAAAGAATATATACACAATAATAACACAACTCGCAATTAAATTTACAATCACAACAATACACACACACATTTACAAAAATTCCAAACACACAAATAACTTAACCAATTGAAATCTACCATTGTAATAAAACGCGTGCCTTTTCTGAAGTAGACGGCTGGCAATACCTACGCCATGCGTTATTATTAATTAATCAGTAGATGTGGTACTTTACTTTAAACAAGTAATAAGTACAATCGATGAGTTACAAAAAATCTTTCAAACGACTAAGTATGTATCTTCTTGTCGTGTTAATAGTTAACGCAAGGTGTAACTTCTACTCCTTTGAACAAATGAAAACCTTCCAAAATTGAGAGTAATAATCAACAAATAAATAAATAATCAATATTAAACAAAATTGTGTATAAGGAATAGTACCGGTCTTTAACTAATACAAGTAATAAAATTTACAGAGACATATAGAAACACACACTTAATTTTTCAAAAATAGTAAATTGTTTTTGTAAAACGTATTAAATCGCCACAATACAAACATTTCCTTGCCTTGTTGTGCTATTGAATAGAAATATTTATTGGAAATTAACGATTGTACAGAGCATCATTACTGATGAGTACCAAAGAAAATTGTGGAAGAATGGCAAAACGTTTGGGATAACAGGTGGTGAAAGTAAAAATTGAAAATAGCGCTGAAGAACCTCTACGTTATAACATAATAAACTAAAATTACAAATGGTCTTTAATTTCCAGTTCGTATAACCAGTTAACTGTCAAAACTTCAGATTCTGCAGGGAAGATTGTAGTTATAGTCTTTTTTCTGCTGAAATAAAACAATTTCTGCATTACGTTTAAATGTTCATTGCACATGATAGCACTTTTAAGTTTCCTTTACTATGGCATTAAAAAAGCATAATTTAATTATCATATGTAATTACATGGGCATAATACGTGAAGTAATGTAAATAACACTTATCAAAACGCAGCGNATAATTTGTTTTTGAGTCTGAGGGAGTCTATACGGTGTTGTATTAATTGGTGGATGATTAACAGGTATTGGAATTTTATGTTTAATTGCATTTGTGTTTCTAAATAAAATATGTCATGATAATTATCACAAATTTGCAAAAGTGATTCTTTTTCTTCTAAATTGAGGTGGTTTGTTTACAGAGTTCTTAAGTTTGTTTAAACGTCTAACTATATCGGAACGAATTTTAGCAGTATTAGTCAAATTTTTTAGTTCAGCCATTTCACCAAATGGTGTTAAATTAATTTTTGATTGAGGAATATAAATATCTTCTTCGGAAAGATTAATTACACTAATAGTACACTTATGGTTAACTGATTTTGTTAAACACGAACCTAAAAATACATTTTCATTAAGTTTCTTTTGTGGCGATATACCTTGGATATTACTTTTATTGCAAATGGCTTCAATTATCGTTTCTGAACGCGCGGGAAGTTTAATTTCAGTTATGGACGGTAAAATTTTCCATTTGGTATCATCAAATAAAATCATTTCCAATTCATAATCAATTTTTACTTTATACAACTGCATAAAATCGCGCCCTAAGATACCATCACTTTTGATTGGAAAATCATTAGAAACTACGTGGAAAGGGTGAACTATTGTTTTGTTAAAATTAATGGGAATTAAAATGTGACAAATGCCA